ACTACACCACAACTCCACCTCAGTAAAGTGTAATGCTTGTGAGTGGTGGACTCACCTCAGAGTCTGCTCAGGATTACGGACACATCGGCAGTAGACCACGTCGTTTGTGGCCCCCTGCTGCTCAAACAGAGCAGCCTCCACGGCTAACCCCAGTCCACCTGTGCAGCCCCACACAAACACCACAGCACAACAACATAACAACAGACCACACCACAACCACGACAGACCACAGAATGCCAACAACTCTTGGTTCCTCCTACAATCTGCACGTTATGTCAGACCAGGATATTCCGTAATGTGACATCAGTCAAGTGCAACACCTGCCTTGGCTGGTGCCAGGTCTGCGCACCACGCGAGATTGGACGAGGAACTTCGAGGGCCCGTGTTGCGCTGCACGGTCGCAAACCTCAACTGCGACGCCGCCCACCACCACCACAGGGCGGCAACCACCGCAGCAGCGCACACAGCCAATGGCGATACGGCCACACACATCTCTCACACCCCGCATTACCACACGTCTCCCGAACCACATGAAGCTCCTTCAATTTAACTGTAACGGGCTTCAGAGCAAGATCGAGGAGATAACCGTCTTCATGGGAAGGCAAGTTATATTGATAGCTACGGTCCAAGAGACGAAGTTGCACAGCAATTCAACATTGTTGAATTATGCCGGGTACAACGTGCACCGTCGAGATCGCGAGCGAGATAATAGTGGTGGCTTAGCGTTCATCACGCACCACACCGTGCAATATCGTCTCATCGAAGCAGACATCGACCGCAGGGATACCATCCTAGAATGTAAGGGCATTGCTATCCGGTCAGGCGATGTTGAGCTCGAAATATTTAACTTGTACATACCCCCTGTCACCTGCTGCCCGGCAGGATATCACCCTGACAGGTGCGCTCCTCAGAGGTGAAAACCGTATGGTAGTAGGTGATTTTAATGCGCACTACGATCTTTGGCACTCAAGCCTCTCAAACGATCGTAGGGGAACCGATTTGGCTGAGCAGATAGACGATTCGACATTCTGCACAGTGAACGACGACGCACTCACCAGGATTAGGGGCAGCTGCTGCAGCTTGCCAGACATAACAATAGTCAGCGCTGGTCTGATAAACAGCATATCATGGCGACCTATGCGGACGTTGGCATCAGACCATCTGTCCATAGTCATCTCGATCGATAAACCAACCGACTTTGCTTCCGCGGAATACCGGACCTATATCAAGTTTTCTAAAGCAGATTGGAAAGGCTTCGCGGAACTTACTGAAAACACGTTCGCTGCTCTCCCCACACCACCCGACGTCCACCTTGGTGAACGTAAGTACCGCAGGGCTGTCACCGCTTCTGCAGCTCGCTTCGTACCGGCAGGATGCATTACGGACCCACGTCCGAATTTCCCTGCCGAAGCGGCTGTTCTAGGCGATTAGCGTGACAGCCTTCGTCAGGCCGATCCCGGAGATCCCCGTATTAGAGATCTCAACGCGGAAATTCGGCAAGTAGTGAACGTACATAAGCGGAAGAAGTGGGAAGAGCTTTGGTCAACCGTGGGGTCTCTGTCCAATCCGACGAAGCACAACGACAGAGTCGAAATTTCTTTCGGTGACCATGCTTCGTCGGACCCGGAGCGATGCGCGAGCTATTTTAGCCGGCAGTTCATACTGAATCTTCCGGTGGACAAAGCCATTCGTCGAGTGACCAGAAGGCTGCACAAACTACCAACAACTTGTGCCCCCTTGCTTTCACTTGCGGTGAAGTTCAGGTGGCCATCGGGAAGGCGAAAGCCTCCAAAGCCATGGGTCCCGACGGAATATGCATGCTGATGCTGAAAAATTTGAGTCCTGTGGGAGTATCGTACCTAACGGAGGTCCTCAATTTGTCTATGGCCACTCTCATCATCCCAGACATCTGGAAGGTGGGGAGAGTGGTCCCACTGCTCAAACCGGGGAAACCTGCCAACAAAGGAGATCCGTATCGGCCGATAACACTCCTTTTCCCGGTAGCGAATATACTTGAGGCCTTGCTGCTCCCGTATTTCACGAACCACCTGACCCCAGCGAAGCATCAGCATGGTTTCCGTAAAGTGCACAGTACAACAACAGCACTTAACGCCATAAACACTCAGATAACTCGTGGCCTTAACCGTAACCGTCTCTGTGAGAACGATTCTAGTAGCGTTGAACTTATCAAAGGCGTTGGACACTGTCAGCTATTCCACGCTACTAGAAGATATAAAGGTTTCCTCTCTCCCACAGAGGCTCAAACGGTGGTTATATTTCAAAGCTCCCTCATCCACCAAAGGGAGTCTCGATTGTCTCTTACGCCGACGATTGCTCGATCATGGCGACTGGGAATGGAATTGATGACTTGTGTTCGAAAGTAAACGGTTTCTCTCCGAGCTTTCTCGCTTCTTCACTGCAAAGTGTCTGGCCCTCCCCTACGAAATCCCTTGCGACCTTGTTCACCACCTGGACGAAGGAGGTCAGGCTACCGCTGGGAATTCACGTCGATGATACACCAATCCTGACGGTGAATAACCCCAAAATACTCGGAGTAACATTTGACAGCCTGCTCTCCTTCTCTGCGCACGCAACCGCGATTGTCAATAATGTACAGAGCCGCAACAAGGTCCTCAAGTCGCTAGCCGGCAGTATTTGGGGCAAAGACAAAGAAACGTTGCTGGCAACATACAAGGCAATAGGTCGGCCGGTTTTAAACTACGCAGCACCAGTGTGGCCGCCGGGGACTAATAGGACGCAGTGGATGAAGCTACAGACAACATAGAACACCGCAATCAGGACAGCGACTGCATGCCTCCTGATGTCGCCAGAACACCACCTTCATGACGAGGCAAAAATGCTCCCAATCAAGGAGCATAACATTATGCTCTGCAAGCAGTTTCTTGTTGGGAGCCACAGATGTGGCCACCCAAACAGACAGCTGCTTGCAGAGGAGCCCTCACCTAGGCACGTCAGGAGGCATCTACACGAACTGCCGGACGAAGTCCTGAGGTTCATTAAGCAGCCTCTGAAGCAGCAGAAATATACTATTGTGAACAACTCAAACGAGCGAAATTCACAATA